ATAAACTCCTGAGGGCCAACATAAACCCCGGAGGCCATGATAAACTCCCCGAGGCCATGATAAACCCCGAGGGCCACGATAAACTCCCGAGGGCCACGATAAACTCCTGAGGGCCAACATAAACTCCCGGGGCCATGATAAACTCCTGAATGCCATGATAAACTCCCGAGGGCCACGATAAACTCCTGAGGCCAACATAAACTCCCGGGGCCACGATAAACTCCCGAGGGCCACGATAAACTCCCTGAGAGGGCCAACATAAACCCCGAGGCCATGATAAACTCCCCGAAGGCCATGATAAACCCTGAGGGCCACGATAAACTCCTGAGGGCCAACATAAACCCCGAATGCCATGATAAACCCTCGAGGGCCATGATAAACTCCCGAGGGCCACGATAAACCCCTGAGGCCAACATAAACTCCCGGGGCCATGATAAACTCCCGAATGCCATGATAAACTCCCCGGAGGGCCATGATAAACTCCCTGAGGGCCATCATAAACCCGGGGCCATGATAAACCTCCTCGAGGCCACGATAAACCCTGAGGGCCAACATAAACTCCCGGAGGCCATGATAAACTCCCGAATGCCATGATAAACTCCCGAGGGCCACGATAAACTCCCGAATGCCATGATAAACTCCCGAGGGCCATGATAAACTCCTGAGGGCCACGATAAACTCCCAAGGCCATGATCCCCTGAGGGCCATGATAAACTCCCGAGGGCCATGATAAACTCCAAGGGCCATGATAAACTCCCGAGGGCCATGATAAACTCCCGAGGGCCATGATAAACTCGAGGGCCATGATAAACTCCTCGAGGCCACGATAAACCCTGAGGGCCATCATAACCCCGGGGCCATGATAAACCCCGAGGGCCACGATAAACTCCCGAAGGCCATGATAACCCTGAGGGCCAGGATAAACCCCGAGGGCCATGATAAACTCCCCGAGGCCATGATAAACTCCTGAGGCCACGATAAACTCCTGAGGCCATGATAAACTCCCGAGGGCCATGATAAACTCCTGAGGCCATGATAAACTCCTGAGGGCCAAGATAAACTCCCGGGGCCATGATAAACTCCCGAGGGCTCATAAACTCCCGAAGGCCATGATAAACTCCCGGAAGGCCATGATAAACTCCCGAGAGCCACGATAAACTCCTGAGGGCCATGATAAACCCCGAGGGCCATGGATAACCCTGGAGGGCCATGATAAACTCCCGAGGGCCATGATAAACCCCAAGGGCCACGATAAACTCCCGAGGGCCACGATAAACTCCCCGAGGGCCATGATAAACTCCCAAGGGCCATGATAAACTCCCAAGGGCCATGATAAACTCCCAAGGGCCATGATAAACCCCGAGGGCCATGATAAACTCCCCGAGGGCCACGATAAACTCCCGAGGGCCACGATAAACTCCTGAGGGCCATGATAAACCCAGAGGGCCATAATCAATTGCTATGATGATTACCCCTAACAGTATGACATATCTCAACACACGCAGCACATCCTTCCATCACAACCAAACACACGGAGCACATCCTTCCATCACAACCAACACATGCAGCACATCCTTCCATCACAACCAACACACGCAGCACATCCTTCCATCACAACCAACACATGCAGCACATCCTTCCATCACAACCAACACACGCAGCACATCCTTCCATCACAACCAAAACACACAGCACATCCTTCCATCACAACCAACACATGCAGCACATCTTTCCATCACAACCAACACACGCAGCACATCCTTCCATCACAACCAAAAACACACAGCACATCCTTCCATCACAACCAACACACGCAGCACATCCTTCCATCACAAACACACGCAGCACATCCTTCCATCACAACCAAACACACACAGCACATCCTTCCATCACAACCAACACATGCAGCACATCCTTCCATCACAACCAACACACGCAGCACATCCTTCCATCCCAACCAAACACACGGAGCACATCCTTCCATCACAACCAACACGAAGCACATCCTTCCATCACAACCAACACACGCAGCACATCCTTCCATCACAACCAACACACGCAGCACATCCTTCCATCACAACCAACACACGCAGCACATCCTACCATCACAACCAACACACGCAGCACATTCTACCATCACAACCAACACACGCAGCACATCCTTCCATCACAACCAACACACGCAGCACATTCTACCATCACAACCAACACACGCAGCACATCCTTCCATCACAAACAACACAGTACATCCTTCCATCACAACCAACACACGCAGCACATTCTACCATCACAACCAACACGCAGCACATCCTCCATCAACAGTACATCCTTCCATCAAACCAACACACGCAGCACATCCTTCCATCACAAACAACACACCGCAGCACATCCTTCCATCACAAACAACACACGCAGCACATCCTTCCATCACAAACAACACAGTACATCCTTCCATCACAACCAACACACGCAGCACATCCTTCCATCACAACCAAAAACGGAGACATCCTTCATCACAACCGACACATGCAGCACATCCTTCCATCACGACCAACACACGCAGCACATCCTTCCATCACAACCAACACACAGCACATCCTTCCATCACAACCAACACACGCAGCACATCCTTCATCACAACCAACACATGCAGCACACCTTCCATCACGACCACACGCACATCCTTCCATCACAACCAACACACGCAGCACATCCTTCCATCACAAACAACACACGCAGCACATCCTTCCATCACAACCAAAACACGCAGCACATCCTTCCATCACAACCAAAACACGCAGCACATCCTTCAATCACAACCAACACACGGAGCACATCCTTCCATTACAACCAACACACACGCAGCACATCCTTCCATCACAACCAACACACGCAGCACATCCTTCCATCACAACCAACACACGCAGCACATCCTTCCATCACATCCAACACACGCAGCACATCCTTCCATTACAAACAACACACGCAGCACATCCTTCCATCAACCAACACACGCAGCACATCCTTCCATCACAACCAACACACGCAGCAAATCCTTCCATCACATCCAACACACGCAGCACATCCTTACATTACAAACAACACACGCAGCACATCCTTCCATCACATCCAACACACGCAGCACATCCTTCCATTACAAACAACACGCAGCACATCCTTCCATCACAACCAACACACGCAGCACATCCTTCCATCACATCCAACACACGCAGCACATCCTTCCATTACAAACAACACGCAGCACATCCTTCCATCCAACACACGCAGCACATCCTTCCATCACAAACAACACACGCAGCACATCCTTCCATCACAACCAACACACGCAGCACATCCTTCCATCACATCCAACACACGCAGCACATCCTTTCATCACAACCAACACACGCAGCACATCCTTCCATCACAACCAACACACGCACATCCTTCCATCACAACAACAACACACGCAGCACATCCTTCCATCACGACCAACACACGCAGCACATCCTTCCATCACAAACAACACACGCAGCACATCCTTCCATCACGACCAACACACGCAGCACATCCTTCCATCACAACCAACACACGCAGCACATCCTTCCATCACAACCAACACACGCAGCACATCCTTCCATCACAACCAACACACGCAGCACATCCTTCCATCACAACCAACACACGCAGCACATCCTTCCATCACAACCAACACACGCAGCACATCCTTCCATCACAACCAACACACGCAGCACATCCTACCATCACAACCAACACACGCAGCACATCCTTCCATCACAACCAACACACACAGCACATCTCTCTCATTTGCATAAAACAAAAACAAAATTCTGGTCATCAAAGAAAAATTAACCTGAAGGAAATTAACATGTAAGAAAACCATACAGAGGTGTGTGTGTGTGTGTGTGTGTGTGTGTGTGTGTGTGTGTGTCCCTGGTAAACACCGTCATCCACCTTCTATAAACGACTGGAAAGCTAAATACCTCTACCAAGAAACGTGTCAAAATACGTCAATCAGGCGACCAAAAATGACGACGGAATTGCATCGTGACTAACGTGACTAAGGTGGAAAAAATAAAAATAATAAATGATAATAACTACACAACATATAAATAAATAAACACAAGAGTTCAAATCAGCTGCACAAAATTTAGTGACTCCTTCAAGACACCCATTTTCCACCCCACCCCACCTCCCCCTCCTTCCTCCCATTCCTTCTTCACTCTCCTTCTACCCCCCTCCCCCCTCTTCTCCCTGAGCCTTCCCCCTCCTTCCTCCCTGCCCACACACGTATATTTAACGGATAATTTGGAGATAGAAATCCGTTTTATCGAGGGATCCGATTTCAAACCTTCACCTGACGGATTATATGGAGAAGGAAGTCCGTTATATCGAGGTTCCTTTAGATAAGAAACCCCCATCTAATGGACTAAATGAAGATGGAAGTCCGTTATATGGAGGGTCCGGTATATGGAGGGTCCGGTATGGAGGGTCCGGTATATGGAGGGTCCGGTATATGGAAGTCCGGTATATGGAGGGTCCGGTATATGGAGGGTCCGGTATATGGAGGGTCCGTTATATGGAGGGTCCGGTATATGGAGGGTCCGGTATATGGAGGGTCCGGAATATGGAAGGTTCACTTTATGATTTTACACTCACGTAACTTAAGCTTAACTGGTCAGTAATAAGACAGAGATCAACTCTCTCTCTCTCTCTCTCTCTCTCTCTCTCTCTCTCTCTCTCTCTCTCTCAGTACTACCACACAGGATGACAGTCTCTCTCTTCTTTAAACAGTAATCTCTTTTCATCCTCTCTTCTCTTCCTCTATAGTAAACACATAGATAGATAGATAAATAGATAGAGGGGGATACATAATTATAAAAATAAAAGACATACATACATACATACATACATACATACATACATACATACATACATACATACATACATACATAAAAAATACTGCAAATAAAACTCACCAAAGTCCATGGGATAGATCATGGAGTTTATGTCAAGGATGAGGTCCATCTTGAAGGACTCGCTCTCACAGTGCAGCCTGGACACTGTTGGGGACAGAGAGGAGACACTGTTTATACCTGTACTGTACACTGGTGGCTACTGTTAACAAGACACTGTTTATACCTGTACTGTACACTGGTGGCTACTGTTAACAAGACACTGTTTATACCTGTACTGTACACTGGTGGCTACTGTTAACAAGACACTGTTTATACCTGTACTGTACACTGGTGGCTACTGTTAACAAGACACTGTTTATACCTGTACTGTACACTGGTGGCTACTGTTAACAAGACACTGTTTATACCTGTACTGTACACTGGTGGCTACTGTTAACAAGACACTGTTTATACCTGTACTGTACACTGGTGGCTACTGTTAACACCTGTACTGTACACTGGTGGCTACTGTTAACAAGACACTGTTTATACCTGTACTGTACACTGGTGGCTACTGTTAACAAGACACTGTTTATACCTGTACTGTACACTGGTGGCTACTGTTAACAAGACACTGTTTATACCTGTACTGTACACTGGTGGCTACTGTTAACAAGAGAAAAATGTAAGTACTGCATATACATAATTATCAATATCTTATAAAAATACTATCAAAAGTATAAGTATGTAATATAAAGTCTTTTAAAACTACTGTATAAAAAGTATAAGTAGACCAAAGTAATAGCACCATTTATTATACACTCCCGGATTCCAATCAGGCATAGGGCTATAAGTTTCAAATTTACCTAATTAAATTAATTTATTTTTATTTTTTCCCAGTTAAGTTAACCTGATTTTTTTAACATTAACTAATTAAGTTAAGATTTTTTCGATTAAGTTAAGTTAACCAGTCTGTTAAATTTGCTTTGGGGAATTTTCATGTGGATTAAATAACTTAATATTATGTAAATGTTTTCCAGAATAGTCAATGAATACCGTAGTTTGAATACCTGAATAGTGAGGCAGTCTGGCACACTATTTCCTTTGTATGAATAAGTCGAGATAAAATAATTATAAATTCTTGACTCTTTTATTTTTTACTCAACAGTTTTTTCACATATAAATAATTTTATAATTTCAGTATGCAAAACCAAGTGAGTCTTTCTTACTTGAAAACATGGCATCATCATTAGATAAGAATTCTGCCTCACAAATAAATAATAATCACTGAAAAACTCAATTTTTTTCATCACATACTTATTACACCTTATAACGCTAAATATATTGGATACTCAATGGGCGCAAAGGCTGGTGTTATTTTTTCAAAGGAGTTAATTTATAATTAATCAAAGTTGATCAATTAATTTGCCCAAATTTCGATTAAGTTAAGTTAAACTGTTATTTCAAAAGTTAACTTGTAAGCTAAGTTAATTAACTGCCCCATGCCTGAATTACCAGTTAAAGAAAGAAAGAAAGAAGTTATCCCCCTTTATGGCCCTGAAAAAGCCTTTAACATAATATATAACTTAAATATACTTACAATAATAAACTCGTAACCTATCCTCATGGGGTCAAATTCTCAAAGATTCCTAAGTGAAAATTCATCGTAACTGAAGCTGTATAGAACTGGTTTACTTAATTATGCCACAACACACATAAAACTGCTTTAAAAATGGCATCAGTAACTTATTAAAAAGAGACTACTTCAACCAGGTTCATTTTTTCCTCCGAGCCGAGACCAAGTCAAACGTAGTTACTGAAGAGAGGATACCAGTTTAATCTCTTGGTGTTTATTTGTGGACGTTACGTTTGTGCTTGAGCTTCTGAAGTCAACAAGTCGGGTGCATTCTTGCGTCTTTACTTACGAGAACATTCATCGTCCCAACCTTTATGAGTCCTGCCCCGACCCCTGTAGCTCAAGCGTTCGTTACTCTTGAGAACACGATAAGACTCTACAGTATATTTTAGTCATATATGTTTAGAAAGATTAAATCCCGAGAGAAATTATTACAAACTGTAGAAACTGTGACTACAAAATGTACATGTGTTGACAACTTTCTGAAAATACAAAATATGTGTAACGATTCATGAACATATTGAAAAAAAGATACTTAATAAACGAAGGAACAATATCGTCCACTGACAATAAACGGATACAAAGAAAACAATATTACTCAATGCCCAATCAATCTCCATCTGACAACACGAGTCACCCCAACCAAAACAAACTTCACCTCAGTCATCGTCCCATAATAACAGAAAACGGGTATCTTCCCCACACTAAGGAAAACGAACACTACTCCTGGTAAACTAATGTAAACCAAGATACCGTCCCTCCTATGCATTCTTGCTTACCCATTTCACCCCATTTTCTTGTATTTCGTTCCTAAACTCAAAACACATACAGGTGACAGTAGGTTGGGTTAAATTCAGCCAATCGATTTTTAATATGAAATATTTCAAGACGAGTATAGAGTATCAAGACACATTTGCGTTACCTAACAATATTGTAAAGCATATCCTCTTTATATTTTGTTTTTCATTCTACAAACTCCCAGAATTATGAATACATTTGTACATTGTCGACATATACATGAACTGGTCTCAATTATTATTATTATTATTATTGTTTATTATTAGTAGTAGTATATTATTATCATTACCATCTTTTGTTTCGTAAAGCACACCATTAAAGTCTATAAAATCATAAATGACACAATGTAAGGAAACCCTCCCCCAAGATAATACATTACATTAGTCGAAAATACTCACGAGATATTTAACTAGATAAGATAAAGGCAACATAACAGATACTTAATGCCTTCAGCTCTCACTAGACGCAGGGAAAATATCGCCTCAAGCCTCATAAGGAGAAGCATATTATTAGTCCCCGTAATGACGACGTTGGTGGAGGTAAAGTGACGCAGTTGTTTATGTATTTCAGATTAGATGCGAAAGTTTTCACTCACTCTCTCTGGCCAAAACTCTTGACAGGTTCTCTTGACAAGTATTCGTTAACTCTTTAGAAGGCAGTGTAGTCCTTAGGTACTTTATTATGGTTAACGCCAATGATTTTATTCAGCCGAGAGAAACCGTTAGCCCACTAAAGGGTTAAGGAAAGGGTCACTACACTAGTCACTGTTGAAATAAGGTATCCACTTTTCTAATATCTTTACTACCGTTATTCTCTATTACAATGAGTCGATGTCTTATGTAATAAATTGTATTTGGTTTATTATACACTGAGAGTCAATGATACATATACCCAACTGTTATAAATAAATATAATTTTATAATTATTATTATTATTATTATTATTTGTTTTGTTATTATTATTATTATTTTGTTATTATTATTATTATCATTTTGTTATTATATTATTATTATTATTATTATTATTATTATTGTTATTATTGTTACTTCGTATGTAAACAAAAAAAATCTAATATTTCCCAAAGTGCCCATCAGTCACAGTGACCTTCGACCTGTTACCGAGAATCAGTCGAGTCTTCCGACACACACACACACACACACACACACACACACACGCGCACACACACACACGCAAGCACGCGCACACACACACACACACACACACACACACACACACACACACACACTACCTCCTTGATGATATATTGTGAAAAAGAAAATCGATCAGTCAATTGTGAGATGTTTTCTTCACACAAAACAAAACAAACGGAGATAAAGGGATTGACAATAGTGGGTAATAATAATAATGCTAATATAACAAAATATAACTGTTAAATACTACTGTTACCACAATGACTAATAATAACAATAATAATGATGATAATAACAACCAAATAATAATAATAATAATAATAATAATAATAAACCAATGAGGAGGTCCCCCCAACACACACCATAACAGGTACACCATGAGCGCCACTCACTGCCATGGCAACGGTCACTACAGCAGCTGAACAAATGAGTCTCATTGGTCAAAACATATCGCCGCCCCCCTCCGTCCCTCGATGACGTCAATAACCCCCCACCCCCCTGGCCTATTGATCCCTCCACAACTGGGTCACAGTCAATGGTGCTCATAATTACTTTAGTTCGTGTTCATGGTAAAAGTCAGGTGTGTCGAGGTAGGTATGCGAGTCAGGTGTGTCGAGGTAGGTATGAGAGTCAGGTGATACAGGTGAGGTGTGAGAATGCTACAACAGTAAAGGGGGTATTATTGTACGTGGAAAATGAGCAGGTATTAGTGTAATTGTGGTTAAAATGAATCGCTAACTGGCCTGTTCTATTATCCGCTGCAGAGAATTATGTAACAATTACCCTCATACAGTGTGAATAGTTCTTGTGTTGTGTTATAATGTTTGTAAGTGAGCTTTTATCTGTAACTGTACCTGACCTCTTGGCGCGTGTGTAATAATAATAATAATAATAATAATAATAATAATAATAATAATAATAATAATAATGATAATAATAATAATAAACGGTTTATTAATAGAGTTGCAGCCGGTGGCTGAAAATATACAGACTTACATTTGATTTAGACATAATGATATAATATGCATTGAATACATTTACAGGGCTGTACAGTACATAAATCAGGAGTTGTTTATTATTTTAACAATAGATGGGATGGTGCTGTTCTTATATCTATCGGTGCGGGCTCTTATGGGCTGAATTTTGTTGTAGTGGCGGACTGCGCGAGTTGGGTGGGGGCTGCAGGTGGCAGGAGGTGGCGATGGCGAGGGTGGTGCAGTAGTCCACGGCCAAACCTTTCCAGTGCTTGGTGGTGGAGGTCACTGAGGGATGGCATTTCCAGGGTGGAGAGAGCGTTGGTGTAGCCGGAGTATTCTGCGCCGAGCATGATTCTGCAGGCCCTTTTCTGTACCTTCTCTAGCTGACGTTGTTGGGTGGAGTTGAGAGAAGACGACCAGGCTGGTGACGCATACGTTAGTTTGGGGAGAATAAAGGCGTTGTAGATGGTCCTCAGCTCTGGCGTGGGTGTCCCAAGTGACCTAAGTCTTCGTAGCATGTAGAGACGGTACGAGGCTGCCTTGACTGTGTTATTTACATGGGCCTTCCAGTCAAGTTTGTTGTCTATAGTTACACCCAGGAGTTTGGCAGACTGCACCAGCTGGAGAGGATGGGCACCCACTGTGACTGCTGGGGCTTGCACTGGTAGCGGTATTGATGTGCATGACTACGGTTTTGGTGTGGTTGATGGTGACCTTGTTCTCCGTAGTCCATGCCTGTAGCCTGTCCAGGGTGCCTTGGAGCAATGAGTAGTCTGGTGCGGTGTGTGTGTGTGTGTGTGTGTGTGTGTGTGTGTGTGTGTGTTCCATTATAAACAGACTGAACACAATACAAGAGTGAAGCATTATGTGCAGTGTTTGGTGGGTCGGGGTGAGATGAGTTGCCTCGGTGAAACCAGACATAAGAGGCACCAAGATGTAGATGCTATTTGGAGCGTTCTCGGCACTACCCTCAGCTGGGCAGATCTGATGAAGAATGACGTCAAAAGGCACTAACTAGGCCACCTGATCAACTCTTACCACAGACACTACACGTATAGGCAAATAACCGCAAACCATCCCGTGAATAATGAAGTAAAAGCCCGCCAATTTATACAAAATATGATATGGAAGGAAACATTAAATTCTACTAAGATTAAATATAAAATAGACATCTTGTTTTATGTTCAAGGTAGACAACGTTATGAATGAGGCATAAATAGTCAGAAATACGAGAAAAAAATCCCACATCACGCAACTCGGCAGGTTTGTTTTAAAGTAGCCTATTCTTATTGACAATCAACCGCACAAATAGACTTAGATAAAACTTAGCTTAAGGTAAAACTCTCAACAAGTGTCAGAGCACGTAAACGAGGCGGAAGGATACACTGTACACACCCTCAACGACTCAACGACGCGTGACACCTCTAGTTCCGTGAGTAGGTAAAAAAGGCGGAGAGATACACTGTACACACCCTCAACGACGCGTGACACCTCTAGTTCCGTGAGTAGGTAAAAAAGGCGGAGGAATACACAACACCTTCCATGACGCGTGAGTACGTAAACAAGGCGGAGGAATACACAACGCCTTCCATGACGCGTGAGTACGTAAACAAGGCGGAGGAATACACAACACCTTCCATGACGCGTGAGTACGTAAACAAGGCGGAGGAATACACAACACCCTCCATGATGCTTCTAGTTCCGGTCTACGTGTTTTTCCCAACTTCAGTAACCCTGACAAGTCAGCACTGAAACTCGTTTCAATAATGTGATTCGTCTGGGCTGCATTATAGGGGAAAATTAGATAATTACGGAGCAAAATGAGATAATTAAGGAGGAAAATGGGTTAATTAAGCGGGAAAATTAGATTAGTTACAGCGGGAATAAGTTTAGAAGGAAAATTTACGAATGGGGAAATGAGCTGAAAGGGGGAGAAAAATGAGTCAATGAGGAAAATGAGATGAATTATGAATGAAAATCAGTCAACTATGAAGGAAAATGAGGTGAATTATAACTGGTGAAAACGAAGAAAATTAATTAAGGAACTTCAGTTGATGAATAGAGGGAAAATGAGCCGGCAAAAGAAAGCAAAAGAAAATGATCCATAAATCACGTGAGGAAATGACCTACAGAAGCGTCCAATTAAAGACCTACTTAACCACACAATACAAAGACTCGGACATTAAGAGGAACTAAGACCTTAAAGAGTGATCCCTGGACAAAATTCTCAAGCAGACTCCTTTTACGTTAAATTTCCCATGCAAGATGAAATATCAAAATGGCGTCAAACTTTCATCAAGACTCCATCATAACAAGCACGCATAATTTAACATACAAATTAATGGTTAGGATTCTTCTCTATGTTAATTTTCTCT